GCCAATCCTTTTCCCCTCGCCCCTTTACCCAAACCGACGCACAGAATGCCTTTGAAACGAACAAATGTCAATTGAAATTTTGAGGTTTCGACGCTCCCAAAATAGTTGGGGGAAAAGGACAGGGACGTACATATTACCAGTAAAAATGAGCTAATATGCTCACATGTACATTTAGCAAGCCTGGTCTTGCCATTCACGCTCTCGCACGGCAGAAACAGAAAAGTACTCGTTCTTTCCACGATTTCCAGAAACCTGTACAGGAAATAAGATTGTTGTTTGTTTGCTGTTGTTTTTTTAAACTACATTTTTGTGAACGGATTACCGTTGACATGCTCACTGCGTGATAACTTATACGGAAATACATAATATACTGATCGGAAAAAGAAATGCAAACATTCTGCAGTACCAGTTATGATCGTTAACAAATTTCATCACTATTGAGCAGTGTTTATTCGTTTTAGTTTTAGTAAGTGTTTTACGGCACTTGCAACAGTGTTTATTAATGGCTCAATTGGCCCATTATGAAACATGCAATGGCCGCCTCGGCAGCAAACATTTGGAGAGTACGTCTCTGGGACTCATAAGCCGCATTAATTGTTGAGCAGAGAGATGGTGCAGACCCAGTCATGTAGGACATTCAATAGAAAATTGTGAAAGAGAAGTTGGACGACCGCAAGGAAAAATCATCAGTGGCTCTAGGCATTCATTTAAGTTAGCACCATCCATCACCTATGGAATCGTTTCCTCGGCACTAACACAACCACAGATCAAGTAAGAATCGGCAGGCCCAGGGTGACAACTACGGCCCAGGACCGGTTCATAGTGTGTCAACACCGCCTGAATCCATGGGCACCATCAGCCTCGGGAGCTTCCAGAAACACAGTTGGAGTAACTAGACGGCCGATGACAGGACTGGAAGACAAAGATGATAAGATTAGCAGCTGTTGGTCTTTAAGGTGTCCAAGCCGAAAAGCTGTTCCAACCTACGTCACTTCTACCATCCACTGCAGTGGTTGGCAGCTCGTCATAAATTGGCGATACCAACAATGGAGACGAGAAGGTTACTCTTAATTGACGAGAGCAAATTTGTCGTAGACCATGCATTCGTATTTAACGCAGAGACAAACAACACTTTTCTGTGGACGCTATCTTGACAAGAAATCATTGAGGATGTGAAAGATTCAAGTTTTATTTTTATTTTTTATTTTATTATGTGGAGGGGAGGCGTTGCCCAAAATCATTCATAACGTCGGCCATGGGTGCAGAAATGGTGTCACTGTTCGACGGTACAACACGATGCCTCAGTGATGCCCTTTTCCAATAAGCATCAAAAATGCTTCCAGCAGGATTACGCAAGATCCCAAAAAACTTGTGTCATACAAGACTCTCTGAGGCAGAATAACATTAACTTTCTGCTGCGATCCAACTCGTTCCACGGACTTAAATCTCAATGAACACTATTTGGGACACTTTGCAGAGACGACTCAACCGTATGATCCCAAGGTCACAAAGAACAGCACAGTTGTGCGCAACCATCACCCAGGTGTGGGGACAAACATAAAACAGGAAACTCAACTCAACGATGAATCTATGCATCTAAGATGTGCAGCAGTAATTGAGACCTCAAGCGGCCATGAAAAGCATACTGACTTCGGGCACCAAGGTCAAGGTCACACACCGAGCATAGTGACGTCAACAGTGCTCAGTGTTATTCTCCACATCTCACTGGCAACTTTTCAACAACAACAACCAAAAATTGAACTTGAACGATACTTGTTGCTTTTTTTTTATTGACCTTTTTGTGTACTGATGAATTCGCGCTTAATTTGCGGGTCAGTTTTTTGTTCTACATATTATTATTATTTATGGACGGTTCAGTTCAAGAACCACGTATGTCACATTAGTCTAAAAATCGACATTTTTTTGCTTTCCCATGGCCGCAGATCTTTCCCCGTTATATATATAATTATTTTTTATGTGAGGATTGGACTGTAACAACTTATTTATCACATCGAAAAGGTGACGGAGAAGGATCTGCGGCCACAAGAAAGCTAAACATTCGATTTAAGAAAAATGTGGCATACGTGTTTCTTGAACTGAACCGTTGATATAGATCTGTCCAGCAATTTTAATGTAACGTCTGTTTGACTGTAATGCGCAGTGAGCGTTCTTTAAAATGAAAATGGTTAGCCGAAATTCTATTGATTTATCAATTTATCTATTTATTTACTTATGTATTTATTCATTTTCTAAAATTAGCTTATGTATTTATGTATTTATCATTTTCATCATCATAATCATCCTTATCATCCTCCTCCTCCTCCTCCTCCTCCTCTCCTCCTCCCCCTCCTCCTCCTCCTCCTCCTCATCATCATCATCATGTGAACATTTCTTGCGGCATCATGGAGTGGACAGGATGCACTAACCAGTTTGCTCACCTGATCTATAAAATCCCATAAAACATTCACAGGACGTTCTTGGGCGATGCAACAACACCCACCAAACTCCACCCAACAACTAGGACTAACCCTTTCCCCTTACGTATTCTCGGACAATAATGCTAGGCAACGCACTGCTCACTATGGGAATGTTGCTCAATCCATGAGACAACGATGCATTGACTGCTTAAATGCAAATGGTCGTCACACGTGTATTTAATCCTCTCAATGTTTTTCAGATTGATCTCTGTGACGTTTGAAAAGTAGGGAACCTCGTTCAACACATTGATTTGTTCACGCAAAACAATAACATTGTCAACTCCATATCGTGTAAAGCTCAACAGAGTAAATAAAGTAAGTCAAAGATCGAACGACCGCAGGTTGATCAACACTTACTTAATCATAATTCTTCTTACATAACAGCTAATGAACCTTAACCTTTTTGGAGTATAATGTAATTGTAATAACAAAAAACCCAAAGAAAACAAAACAACGATAACTGAAAATAACATGACCCTAACAACAGAAACAACAACAACAAAAACAACAACAACAGCAGCAAAAACAAGAACAACAATAACAAGCAAAGCAACAAAAACACAATAACTGTAGCGACAACAGCGGCAGCAGCAGCAGCAGCAGCAGCAGCAGCAGCAGCAGCAGCAGCAGCAGCAGCAGCAGCAGCAGCAGCAGCAGCATCAACAGCAACAGCAACAACGACGACGACAACAACGACAAAAACAGCAACAAAAACGACAGCAACAACAACAGCAACAACTACAACAAAAATTACAGTTTGTAATACAGCTTTGCCAGCTAGTAATTAGTTTAACAGCCAAGTTGTCAAGGACTCTAACACAGGTTCATTGTAGCAAGCTTGACATCACAATTCAGCAACTATTTGTTCTTTATTACATCCTACATCCGCTTCATCAGTTTCATCCTTATTGAACGTTCGTATAAAGCTCATAGGTGAGCTGACCAGGTCCTCAGAGACATTGCCTATACTCTGGAGATTTTCATATAGGTTAAGAATTTCATCATAGCGTCACATGTCCTCCTTTCTTTTGTAGATCTATGTCTTATGTCATCATCTGAGTTTGCACCTCATTCTGCCCTGGCAGCAAGTAAGATATAATAACTCATTCTTGTTGGCACTTTTAAAATCAGCTTTTAAATCAATTGTAAAAGGCATGGCGATCAATCAGCTCGTCGTCGCACACAGAAGACGTATGTTCGATTCTCATGTGAGAAATTTATCGAGTATCTCGGTCTTTATGTACAGACTTTATATCCCTCTCTGTCCGGGTTGGACCTGACAGGCAGGGTCGAACGACGCCTTCTAAATGATCTTGGTTGCGTCAATGGGGGCTTAAAAGCACCTACATTAGAAACTAAAAAATCAGTATTGGCAGTGAGAAAATTATGTTCTCCCTTAACTGCCAATTGCAATCTATCTGAATAAAAAATATAGTTTGTGTTTCTTTTGTATGAATGCAAAGTTACTGACTTCTCTTACCCTTTATTGTGTCGGTATCTGGCCCACAGCGTAGGACACGATGTTCGGTAAGGACCTGGCTCTGCAAGGACTCCTCCTACTTCTACTGATGTACACAGTATCTTGTAACCCCCTTCTTTTTCGCACTGAGGGCCGCGGGCATCTAAGACTTAACAAGTCTGGTCTCGAACCAGAGGTCTTCATGAACGCTGTGAGTATTGTCCCTTGTCAAAAGTTCAGCTTTGATTTTGTGGTTTATGTAAAATGTGCGCAGAAGTAAAAAGATGACGAATACTCTACAGATTCATAAACGATACTAATGCAGTGCAAGATGATTGATGCATTTATTTAGTAATTGAAAAGTCCTTCTGTGTGCATTTATTTAATATATCTTTTAATATCATTGGTGTAATTACTATTGTTATCATCAGCATTATTGCAATCATAAATTCTGTTTTACATAATTTTGGCGGGCCGATACCTGCGTCACTCTTTAGTAGAAACCACACTCTCTTCCGATCTAAAAATTCATAAAAATAATGGTGACATTCATTATTCCTAAGAGCATGATGGAGCCAGATTTTTATGATTTTGAGCTTTAGAATTTTTAAAAATCACTACGTATAGTTATAAAATATTCCAGGGTTGATTCATTGCTTTCCAATTGCACTTTTAAAAGATGTTAGATTAGCTGTTCATCAATAGCTGAATGGATACAAGTAAACGGGAACCTCAAAGTATGGGTGGGGAGTTCTTCTATGTCGTTGACACGGTTATAAGGTGGGTACTGAGAACTATTTTTTTTTTCTTAAAGAGCCCTCTTTTTTTTAACCTTTTGTCCGTTTCGTTCTTAGCGAACGATTCAAATTTGCGATTTAAGTCACCAAGGGACATACCAATATTTATAAAACGTTGGGTTCCAACGCAGATGTGACCTTTCAAACCCCTTCGCAAACGACTTGAAATCGTGGATTTCTGCGAAAATCGCGATAATTGGGAATGAAGTAGCTAAATAAATTATTATGAAAATTAATTAATTAATATTTTTAATTTAAAAATCACGGATTTCTGCAAAAATCGCGATAATCACGAATTATCAAAATAAATAGGAACATACATTTACATTTGAATAAACTTATTTTCTTTAAATTATAGAATCATGGATTTGTGTGAATTCGCGAATCAAGTAGTGCTAAGTTTTAACCACTCCCCCCCCCTTCAACGTGATATACATACAGCAGTCATTGGAAAGTATCCTTGAACAACTCACGACATCCCTAGCTCAAAAACAGGACGTTGCACATTGGCAAACAACAATGATAGTCTATATGGATTGTCTATATTTGAGATGCTGTGTATTAGTCATGCATTTACCTAAGGGGATCAATAAAGTGGAATTTATTATTTTTATTTGCATTTTTATTTAGTAGATAATGTGTTCAAATAATGTCAACGAGACTGTTAGTCGCGACTGTTGTGGTGGTCGAAAGCAGTACATGGTTGTCCGACTGTAGTCCTAAAGGCACGCAGGCAGCTAGTTATCTTAAAAGTCTTGTTGTTGTTGTTGTTGTTGTTATTATGTTCTTTTTCTTTTTAATTTTTGTGTTTATGTTTATCTGTACGTCTATGTGTGTATATAATTGTGTGTGTGTGTGTGTGTGTGTGTGTGTGTGTGTGTGTGTGTGTGTGTGTGTGTGTGTGTGTGTTTGTGCAAGTGTTTTACAGGCATGGGCCCACTATATTATATTGCTAAATAAGGATTTTTATTTCATAATCATAATGTTAAATTCTCTTCAAGTGGAGGAGTTCACCAAATCTCGGACACATTTACTTAAACGGACACTCATTGCTTCCTTTTTTTTTTATTCTTTGGAATTTTTCGCCGATAACGAGAAACAAAACCAACATTTTCATTTTCATTCTTTAAATAACCTTGACATGAAGAAATACCGCACAAAGTCGCACCGCTCGTACCCCCCGCTTTGCTTATCTCCCTGTATAACATCATAATGTTTTTACCTCGGCTCGCCCCACCTCGCTCCGTTCCGCCTCTCTTCGCCACGCTTCGTCTTGTCTGCAGTGTGGCCTAACCCTGAGACTTTTCGTAGATTTCAGAAAGGAAAACGACGAAAAGTAGAATATAGATCTAGCTTCTGTAGAAACGAACGAAACCAAACACAGAACGCCA